GTCAAGGCTGAGAGAGAGAGGAACAATATAATGTATGTTTGGGTATCTTTATACTGCCACAGAAAGATGTATAGCTTTAAATCTGATTTTTGAAATCTGATGGGTGTAGGTCGGTCGTTCCTAACCTTTGATCCTTCAGGTGTTTTGGACTTCAGTTCCCACAATTCCTATCAACTGATATGATGGCTGGGATTTCTGGAAGTTGAAGTCCAAAACAACTGGAGGTTGGGAATAACTGGTGTAGATAGTATTGCCAACAGTATTTTGTCAAAATAGGGTAGGATAGTACAAGTGGTTTTTAGTATGGTGGGTCCTGCTGGCAGGGTCTAGACCAGGGTCTTCAGATATAAAAACTGGAACTGACATGGCTAATTTGGTATTAATTCCAGCCATGATGTTAAGTGCTGTGTCTGCTCCTCTGTATCTGCATTTTCTTTCTTTCTTAAAATGTGATTGGAGAAGACTTACCAGGCTAAAAAAAAAACCCTGATAAAGACCTTCCTTCAAAACTAAGAAACTGAACAGCAAAAAGCATCATGTTTGCCCATTTTTCATGTAAAAGGATAGATCAGGACTCAAGATTATTCCAGAAGCTTTTTCCTGGTGTATTGTGAAGAATACACAGTCAAAGCCATGCTCTAATGGAGCTGTGTTTATAATAAATTATAAGGTGAATCCATAATTCACAATTATAGTGCAATGCTTCCACTTTAACTGCTCTGTCATTCTGTGGAATCTTGGGATTTGTGGTTTATTGAAGAATATTTTGAATACTCAATCAGAGAACTCTAGTGCTCCAAGAGGTTCAAAACCTCACAATTCCATAGGATGCAACCCTTGCAGTTAAAGTAGAATCACAGCTCTCTAATTCTTTAGCTTTAATGGTCCATGGTCAGTTTAAAACTTACTAAATGAAAGAGTTCAGAGGCTTCATTTCATGAGACCAATTTCATACAAAGTTCTTGATTTTCAGTTTAGAACCCTTCCACACAGTTGCATAAAATCCACATTGAACTGGATTATATGGTAGTGTGGACTCAAACTAGTTCAAAGCAGATATTGTGGATTATCTGCCTTGATATTATGGGTTATATGGCTGAGTGAAAGGGTCCTGAGACTTTCAATAGATAAATAGGGACTAGCTTACTTAATATTTGGCCCCATCTACACTGCCATATAATGCAATTTCATAATGCAGTTTAACGGCCTTTATTTCCACTAGAATTCCTGCTTCTTGGCAGGGGGTTGGACTGGATGGCCCACAAAGTCTCTTCTAACTCTATGATTCTATGAAAGTTTTTGTGTTGAAATCAATGCATGGAGTTATAGTTTTGTGTCTAAAACCCAACTGCTAGGCAGCACTACAGCAGTCATCAGGAGCTTGGTAAATCAACCTTTATGTAATTGCCATTGACTCATTCAGCTTATTCTTATTGTAATGGGCATATGGATTTTGTCCAGGAAAACCTTTTATGAAAAATAATAAGATAAGTTGGATCTAGGCTACTTATCAGAATTCTAAAAAGTCTGCATCCCAAAGCCTCTTATTCTGCAACTATTTTCCCTTGTTCATATTCTCACCAATGAGAGGACTATCTGAGCTTAGAATAAACATTCTTCTTCCCAATATGAGTGACTCTGGGTCATGCAAGCTTGAAAATTGGATGTACCTCTTCCCTTAGAGACTACAATCTCAACAACACAAGCACATTTTCTCTATGCTTTATGTGGACTGCATTACAATCTTCAGAAAACTTCAGGAGTCATAGCTGAAATGTGTTTCAGCTTATATTTATGTCCTGGGAGTGAGAATTTGTTAAACTGGGATTTAAATTGGAACAGAATGAATTTCTGGCCCATTTCTTGATGGCAAGGAAGAATCCTTTTTAGGATGTGGTAGGTATTGCTGCAGTTCCCTGTCCATTTTCCGAGTTACCTTTTTGACATCTTCACAGCTATATTACTAGTCCAGCAGTTTTGCAACTCTGCCATTTATTGATACTGCACTGATTGTGGAAATGTTTAAGTCAAGGTCTCATTTTCAGGGGAAAATCATAGAGAAGAAGGATTCATTCAACTAGGAGAGTGTGCTATCTTCCAAATGGTTGTCTATTTTCAGATACATTTTGTGAACTCTTATATCATAAGATGAGCCCAGGCACATGGTAACAGCCAAGGACCTATATTCAACACTATAAAGTTGAAATATCAATTTCTGTAGATGAAATGTCAGTCCTCCTGCCTCAGTAATCTTTGCTGGGCACATATAGCTCAAGTTCTTCCAGGTTCTGACAGAGGTGAAAAACATTTCAGACAATATGAACATAGAGCTTCTTGAGGTCGGAAAGCTAAATTCTTTGCTGGTCCCGAACACACTTGCTGTGTTGCCCTATTTAAATGACAAGTGAAATATGGTGCATGAAAACATCAATTGTTCATGTTCTTAAGAAGTAAATGGTAAAGATGTGACTTTAGCAGCATCACAGCTTTTGGAAGAAAGGAGAAATTTAGCCCTCTTCATATAGTGCTAATGAAAATATCCTGCAGAGGCTTCTCAACCAATACAGTTGTAGAAATTGTTGTTGTTGTTGTTTATTCATTCAGTCGCTTCCGACTCTTTGTGACCTCATGAACCAGCCCACACCAGAGCTCCCTGTTGGCCGTCACCACCCCCATCTCCTTCAGAGTCAAGACAGTCACTTCAAGGATACCATCCATCCATCTTGTCTTTGGTCAGCCCCTCTTTCTTTTTCCTTCCATTTTCCTGTCTTCTCATGATGTGGCCAAAGTACTTCATTTTTGCCTTTAATATCCTTCCCTCCAGTGAGCAGTTGGGCTTTGTTTCCTGAAGTATGAACTGGTTGGATCTTCTCACGGTCCAAGGCACTCTCAGAATTTTCCTCCAGCAATACAGTTCAAAAGCATCTATCTTCCTTCACTCAGCCTTCCTTATGGTCCAGCTCTCACATCCATAGGTTACTACAGGGAATACCATTGCTTTGACTATGCGGCTCTTCGTTGCCAGTGTGATGTCTCTACTCTTCGCTGTTTTATCAAGATTGGTCATTGCTCTCACCCCAAGAAGTAAACGTCTTCTGGTTGTAGCTGCAGAAGAGGACATTTCAATTGATGGGACAAAATGTTAATTCTAGACATGATGTGGTTCTCCTCCTCTGTGCCTGCATCTTTTTATTATTATTTTTCTTTCATTTTAAAGTGGGAGTGTTATCTCTAACCACATAGTTCATTCAGTTTGAAAATGTTGCTTTAGGTGGTGCATTCTTGGGCATTTTGTTTTGTACTGTTTTGAGGGAGACATGCTGAAACGTGTATATAGCTTAGCAGAGGTGGTGATATGTTCCTTATCCAATTAATAATGGATGTTGTAATCATTTGGTTTAAAGTGTTACTCAGTTTTATTCATCAGCACTTTTCTGCTTATCTGTAGTGAGCCTGACCCCCATGCATGCCAAAATATTGGTTTAGTTGCTGAAATAGCATCTGCAGATCAGAAGACAGGCTTTCTTAAGTCTTCTCAGCACATTGAACCTCACTATTAGAAACTAAGCAATTTTAACTTATATAAAGAGGCTGAGACCTCTAATGATATTACTTCATTTTTTATTAGGCAGGCAGTTTATCTTGTAAACATGAAAGTTCCTTAAGTACTAGACGTCAGAAAGATTAATAAATGATAAGAATGTATGATTAGACAGCTTTATTTATTTTTAATCTAAAACTGCCTTGTGTGGATTCTTAAAAAAGAGATTACTATGCTTTCATGTTCTCTCTTCACCAAACACACACAGCATAAAGGTTTCCCTAAAATCACATATGGTTTGTAGAACAGGAGGGTCTTATTTAATGTGAATGCTTTGTTTTTGCCAGAGTAAGCACACTAAAGAAAATGCCATAGTAGCATGCTTCCTTAATCAAGCCTGAGCATCAGGGAACTTGCTTTAACACACACGTACGTACAGAATGGAGTCATGCTCTGCTGAAAATGAATTACCTCTGGTCAACAGCTAAAAGAGTTTAAGTGGTTTGTCAAGTTTCCTGTCTGTTGCCCCTCTCGCCCCAGCTGCCCTGGAGGTCTAGCAGGAAGATAACACACCGTCATGGAGGAGATGAGAGTTACAGTACAGCAATTAATCTTAGACCACCCCTATTTCTGCATGGACATGAATGGTGATCTGATGCCATAGCTTCCTGAACAAAAAAGGGACATCTTGCTATTCCTTAATGGCTCACCCTGACTTTGTATACAGAAGAGTGTTTATCATCTCCCCAGGGACCTCTAGGCTACCCTTGTTACCATTTCACTGCAATGCAGGCAAATCCAGCATGATCAAAGGAAAATTTAAGGATGATATACATCTTATTATGTCAGTTCTCTAGCTGTTTTATACACCTATGTAACCGTTTTTGGATTCACGAGAGAGTAATATGATGTGAGAAGGAAAATTTGACAAGCAGAATGACGGAAGGTCACTTCCATAGCACTGTAGTACTTTGATGACACTTCCAATGCTTTGGCTCCAGCTTATGGCATCCTAGGTTAAGTGTTTTTTGTGAAATATTTAGAATTCAGCCTAAGCGCTCTTTTCATGCTTCACCAAACTACAAATCTTAGGATTCCACACAATGCACCCATGGCACTAAGAGTGGAATTGTAGTGCTATAACTGTGTAGTTTGAATATGACTTCAGGACTAATCTGGGAAAGCATCTATATTTTTCATCACAAGATAACATCCTTAATTGTATATACAATGTTCCCTTTACCACACAGTAACACAGTTTGAAAGATCAGGTTATTATTTCAAAGGAAGTACAGTTTCTTCTTCATCTCTCAGTGACTTAAAAGTGCTGGCATTTTTTTTGTTTTTTTTTTCACGTATAGATTTCCTTAGATCTTGTGGAAAAGTAGAGAATCTCAAAATATTACGAGGATCTGTAATCTTAAATCTCATTGTAATATTTCCCTTTATATCTCTATAGATTAAAGATTGGATATAACTTAAAAGAAGCATCATTCTGATCACTACGTATTGGACACCAGCCTCCTTTGACCTCGGAAATTGAAAATGAGGTTGCTATGGGAACTGCTTGTTCTGAAATCATTCATGTTGTGCCTTGCAGGTAAGGTGTCTTTTTAAAAACTTTTTGTTCCCCCTTTATTTATGGTTTCGAAATTCTTCTGTTATGCTTTATCATTATAAAGCAGTGAATAAAGCTATGCTTCTTGACCTACACTTAACCAGGAGACCTGAATGGACCAGGGGTGGTCAAGGGAGAGGTTTGACTCTGTTTGAGAGATCCCTTGGCAATTTGCATTGAATCAATAAGGATTTCTGATTTCTGCCTGTTTAGAAAGGACGGGGTGGCTTCTTTTCCATTCATAGGATGAAAATGAAGAAAGAATGCAGTAAATAGGAGTGTGTTTTTACTCTGGGATATGACTGTGAACTCTTTTAGGTCGTGCTATTCAAAACCTAAATGGATCGGAATGCTTTAATTTTAAACATGACTTTTACATCAGGATTTGGCTGGAACTTATGACAGTCTTTGTTAAAAATAAAGTAGATCATACAAGCCTGATGTCTCCCCACCATTACTCAAGCAAGCTTTTATCTTCCTCCTGTAGTATTTTTGTGTATCTTTTCCACATCTTCACACAATCCTTTCCTTATATGTTGTTTTCATCCAAGCATCTCTGCACAGCTTCACAGTGTTTACAATGGAGCAGCTTTCTTTCTTCAGGAGGAATGTAGTGAGGAGGGCTTTGACTCTAGGGTTGGCTGAAAAACAATCCATTTAATTAGTAATACTGAACATGCAAGTTATCAAATCTATCAGAGGTAAACCCACACATATAGAAGGCAGAAGGCTCATTGAATTAACGGTGCCCGTGTAAGTGTTGTGTTGCAAAGTTTTCATTGTTTCAATGGGTCCTATATAACTGAGGTGGCAAGTGCACATCTCAACTTTGTGATTTGGAGTTTGAAAATCTGCTTAAATTTTGTGAGCTAAATCAAACCACAGTACTGTGCAGTGTGTGTGTGTGTGTGTGTCTATATGTCTATATATATATTTCCCTTCTGACTTTCCACAGTAAAGTGAAAAAATGGCTTTTTGAACCAGTCTTTCATTTTGCGGATTGTGGATTCTTTTATTTTAATATCATCCCAAGAGATAGCATTCATCATTGTGCTTAATTTTAATGTAGAACAGACTATTATGTTTTGTAATGCAGATTTCTCAGTTTCTGGCTCTAGGCATCCAGGAATACAAATGTCAGCCAACCACCAATTTTTTAATTTGCATGTGAAGTGGTTATCTAATCTGTTGTAACCTATTATATGAAAGTCAGTGGTTCTCCTGGACTGAAACATCAAGGTCTATGAGAGTGAATGATCTATAAGTTTATAAATGAGTCATGGTGTTCTAAATGAGGCTGGATCTACATTGTCCTATATCCCAGGATCCGATCCCAGCTTATCTGCTTTGAACTGGATTGTGTACCTGTCTACACTGCCAGGTAATCTGAGATAAGAAGATAATCTGGGATCAGATCCTTGGAAATAGGGCAATGTAAATCCAGCCTGAGCAGTCACTTTCCATCATAAAACTGCCGGACAATTTGCTACTCACATTAAGGATCTTTTACAAAATTCACTATTCCTGATCAACGTTCTGTAGTGTACTCAATGAAAACAGTACCCATTATTGCTTTCATGCCCCCTTAAATATTAAGGTGTCTAATATATAAATAAGTAGGTTGGACATGTTTTGTGTTTATACTTACCTGTCTGAACGTATCTCTCCCTATGAACCATCTAGGAGTTTAAGATCATCTGAGGAAGCCCTGTTCTCGGTCCCACCTTCTTCGCAGGCACAACTGGCTGGGATGAGACACAGGGCCTTCTCAGTGGTGTCCCCTCGGCTGTGGAACTCCCTCCCTAGTAATATTGGATCAGCCCTTTCCCTTCTGACTTTCCACAGAAAAGTGAAAAAATGGCTTTTTGAACCAGTCTTTGGGAACCTAGTGCAATAGATAAACACAGAACTGTGTGAAATCGAATACTGGAACATCTTAGACAATATTTTTGGATGACGAGGCTAATAGTGAAGGTAGTAATTTTATATGTTTTCGAAGGTTTTAATGTATGTATATTATAATTCTGTTTTAAATGTTTATTGCAATTTTTTCATTGTTTTAATGGCATTGAATAGCTGCCTATATTGTAAAGCCGCCTTGAGTCACCTTCAGGTTCCAGAAAGGCAGGACAGAAATATCATAAATAAATAAATAGTGTGACTATAAATGATGAGTTCTGTGTTAACAGCACAGGATCTGGCTTAATATTTTTGTTAATGCATTGCCATTGTTGCTGCTTTAATCACAATAGATAGGGGAGAAGTGTGAATGACAGAGTAGCAGGAATAGTTCATGATACATTATAATATCCCATGCCCATCCAACAGATACTACTGAAAGACAGAAATTGGAACATTCTTTAGGAATGTTATGGTAGCTACAGAGCTGTTGTGCTGGGTTATGTATCTTCAAGTCATTACTGACTTACAGCAATCCTAAGGCAAACTTCTCTTTTCTTGATGTTTTCTTCACTGAATTTGTTCAGTGAGCATTTGCCCTTTTCTTGCTCTGAGACTGAGTGTGACTTGCCTAAGGACACTCCATGCGTTCCTATGGCCAAGCAGGGATTCAAACTCTGTTCTTCCCAGTGTCTATCCAACACTCTGCTGAGTTACACATTTGGTACTTTTGATAAATAACTGAACTTAATAATTTTATTACAAACTTCTAATTTTATAATAACCTCTGGATTCTGGCTTCTATTTTAAAGCTGTCCTTTTACCCCTTTTTTACTCTCTTTCTAATAGGTAGTCTTGAGTAAGCGAATTTCATTATTTTATACATTCTCTCCTTCTCAGCATGTTACTACAATATTGAAATGTGTTTTCTACTTTCTGTATTCCTCATGTTTCTCAGTAGTTTTCTTTGGAGCAGGTTTATTTGTTGTTTTTTGTTTGTTTCCACTGATCTGGGGGTGGGTAAAGGGAAGCATTGTATTTTTCAACCGATGTTCCATTTTTGCCACTTGAATTTAAAGTGAAGATTTCTTACTCACTTTATAAGCTGCCTAAGTGGAAATTGTGTAGCTTATGGCAAAGGTATGTAGGCATAGGATTGCAATTCCAAGTGGTCATTGAAATTATCTGAAATAATAATTTCCCTTGTTCCCTCTGTATGTTCGATCATTGCAACCCTAAAACCAGCAGGTACAATTATAGTTTTATAGCCTCCAGCACTTGTACATTTACAGACAAACCCTGAAAATAGCTATTTCTCTGAGCAGACACAGAGAGCCTTTTCTCTTTGTTGAACTACTTGTTTGAGCCACCCTGGAGCCCTAAAGAGCAAATTTGTATAAATTACTTTTTAGTATATGTCAAGGAAATTTCTTTTAAAAACAACCCAAAACATTATTTTAAAAATGTATTGCTTTCCTAACCAGCACTCTTGCCTTTCATTGTTCTACACTGCCAGGTGTAAGAGGTATTCCAACCTGCTGGGAAACATACATATATTACAGCCAAGCCCTGTCAAAAAGGTGACAGGACGGGACAGGGCAGGCGTGGAACAGGAGAGGGAAACTTATTGTACCAGCAGTGAGCAATATGACAGCTGCAAGCGTAATGTATAGTCAAGATTGGTTTCAATTCAGGGAGGTGAGATGGGAAATGGTTCAGGGTGAGTTGCTAAATGGATAGATTTAAGCTCAGGCTCTGAAGGAAGAAGAGTAATGGTGGAGAACCCTGGCGGGTGGTTTGAGGATGAGGGGAAAGGATTGGCTTCTGACTTCAACATCCTTCAAAATTGGCAAATGCCAGAGGACGTTCATCATGAAAGCTGCTGCAGGGAGGGCTACTCCTGTAATAAGAGACTGCTAGTGAATATGTTTTTCCTTGGAGCTGATCCAGTTCTCACCCTCTGATCTTTATTGCTCTATACAGTGTTATAGAACATACAATCTCCCCCTCTTTTTTTCTGACTTTCTCTCATTTTCGAGGGAGGTTGCTTCAGACTCTGAACTAGTGTCTTAACAAAACCAAGATTCAATGAGTACAATGCCTGTTGTTTCTTCAAAGACAATTCTTACTTCAGTTTCCTTCCTCAACTGGAAATACCATAAACACAATCAATAGTGTCAGCTTGCTTTCTTAAGACCATGCAAAATATGTTCTGGAGATCCCCTTTTCTTAATTTTGCCTTTTCTTATGTAGGAAGAAGAATTAACAGAAAGGAACCCATGCTCATTGTTTCAAGATTTTATGTAAGGGGAGAAAATTCAAATCTTCCTCACTCCCAAGCATCGATTGCATCCCTATAAGATGCTCCTTATAGAATTATATTTCTGTTGGGAAGAGCTTCAGATTAATCATAGAAATCCTGGCCAACAAAGCTCATCATACAATTAAGTCCCTCCTTCTAAAGAGCCAGAGAATTCCTTGTTAGTACATTGTTGCTATGAATATTGTTGTCAACTTGGGATAAAGTAGGATAGAAATAAATAGTAGACGTAATAGCAGAAAAATAACAGTAACATAGATAAGGAACATGTTGAACTTCAAATGCTATTAGTCTGTGACTCCCATCAGTTCTAATTAGCTCATGTCCCATCTGCACTGACTATTGAATGTAGTTTGAAGCTAGCTTCAAAGAGTGGTAATTAGACAACAAAACTATGCAAAAGAAAGCCCTCATTGCATATCAGTGCTCCATAGTTTGAATAAACACTATCCGGGTTTTAAACTGGTTTCTATGTAATCATCTGCACAGTGAAACCACTTTCTTCAATACTGGTTTGAAACTAATGTAAGTGGTCAGTGTAGATGAGGACATAGTGGTGAAGGAGTATGAGAGTTATAGTACAATCGCATTTAGAGCAGGAATGGGCAAATCCAGGTCTGGGGGCTCTTTTTTCAGGCCCTCTTCCCTCTCACCATCCTATCCTTCCTTCCAATTATTTTTCCTTCCTCCTTTCCTCCCTCCCTTCCTTACCTTCCTCTCTCTTTCTCCTTCCTTCCTTGCTTCCTTCCCTTTCATTCTTTCA